TGCTGTGGTATCTCAGCCCTGTCACTCATCATCTATAGCTCTGGCTTGAAGAGCGTGGTTGCCAAGGTTAACGTTGAAGAGTTAGAAAAGATTTTTGCTTTGCTTTTCAGAAGTAGGTAGAGTAGCCTCATGGTGATTTAACAGATTAATGTGGCATACTTATCAAACATTTCCTTTTGACTCTAGTGGGAGCAATAGCTCAGCAGCCTTTTGAAAGCATAGTGCAACTTGCACAAGGAGCTGCTGACAAGCACAACAGAAGAAACTCAGGCAGTTTGCCCAAAGATGATCCTTGGTCACTTTTCTTCACCCAAAGTGTTGTTAAGTATTGGAACAAGCCAACCAGAGAAGTGGTGGAGTCACCATCCTTGGAGATGTTAAAAAACTTGTTGATGTAGCACTTCTAGACATGGTTTAGTGGGCACGGTGGTATTAGGTAGACGGTTGGACTTGATGATCTTAGCGGTCTATTCCAACCTAATGATTCTGTGATTCTATTGGTCAAAGAAATTACCAGCTGGAACATGCTGGCTCAGAGAAATTATGAATTTATTTGTAGACCAGGTGGACCATCAATTCACTTTGGAAAAATTCAAATTTGTTATAAAAAAAATGAGGGCAGGGTGGGGGGAGATTAGGGAAAGCAAAGTTGGAGGAGCTTGTAAATCATACTCACTCCAGACTGTCATTCCTGAAAGGGTAGAGGTATTCTCCATCACCTGTGTCACACAGAGGACCCCCAATCAGCCCCAGTGAAGAGATGACCACACAGTACGCTCCTCCTGCAAATCCCAGCACAGCCAGGACCACTGACAGCAGCATCTGAAAGGGAAAAGATCTGCAACGTTGCATGCACAGAGGCATTGAGTAGCATGGAAAGCTTACACTGAATGAGAAGGAAATGATCTTTATCTGTTTCTTACCAGATGTTGAAACTTTTAATAACAGTGTATTTGTGGGAATGAAAAATAGTTTACATTTTCTGACTGGTGCAGCTATGTGAAAGGACTGCAGACTGTGTTTGTTTTACTTTTGAAAGTGGGTAAGCCCAGAGCTTTAGTTATTCAGAGTTTTATACTTGACCAATCAATTATGAAAAATCTGGTGACCTTCTTTCAAAAAGCCAATATGAAGCCAGTACTGGCTTGATGTCATCCACATCATGTGCCTTCGCATTTCCATCTCTTCATCAAGAACACATTTCTCAGCCCTTGTACCAACAGAAGCTAACAAGCAACTACCAAACCAGGTATGAAAGCAATAGAAGATGCATTAGTTGTTTTTGCTAATTGATGAAGAATGCAAAAGAGCCTTTCTTGTTGCTGCTTTCCTTCATTTTGCATCAGCATGGCATGTGGTTACCACTGCTCATGTTGAGAAATCTAATTGTGCTGCGTGTGGCAATGAGCCAGCAGTGACTTTGAATTATATGTAATGCACCTGTACATTTTACATTGGCCACTCCCACAGAAACATCACCTTTGCTCTGTTTTGGGGTAGTCTTCTATATCAATGGATGGAGTGTATCTGGGTGCTGTTTGTATATAGAAACAAGTATCTCCGGTGGGTGCTACTAGTGTTGCATCTGGGACAGGCTTCCCACTAGTCTTGTTAAGAGTCCCTGCTTGTGGTTGTTCACAACTCTGCTGAGAAGAAAAAAAGGAAACTCTGGAGCAGGCCGATGGAGCCAGGGGGAGACCCGGGCTAGGAGCAGGGCAGTAAGACTGCTTTGGAATCAGGGCAGAGGCACAGCTGGGGAAGCACATGGGAAACACTCCCGTCCATGACTTGGGTTGAAGCCAAATACCTCTGGCAACATTTCACTGTTGGCAGCAAATACCAGTGAAATCTAATAGCCCACCAGGAAGGCAGAAGGCTTCTCCTAATGCCAGTTGCTCCTCAGAGTGCTGCGTTACAGAGTCAAATGGGAATATCCACCATCCACGTTGCAGATTTGTGACATAATCTTGAAACCTATTCACCATCCAAACATGTTCCAGCTGGTGAATGCAGTTTCCAACTTGCCAGCTGATGACATTATTGCTTGCTGTGCAATCTTGCACTCTGCCAGTGTGTGAATTGACTCATTTTGTGTTTCCTTTTGCCTCTAAAGCAATCCTTGAGTAGTTAGAAGTTGCTGGGATTTCTCATGAGATTTATTTCATCATAACTGATTAATAACTGTCTTTTTTTGCAAAGCTGGACATCCTTTTCGTCTTTATCTGCATTGTTGGCTGAGTTTCCTCTTAGCAGAGCTTCATTGTCAGCAAAATGTAGGTAATTTAGTATGTTATTCCAAACCAAAGCAGTGCTGGGTTTTAGCTGGTGCACTGTCTTTCATAATAAGATCACCAGCCATGCCTTGTGGTGAAGGAGATACTCTGTCTGGAACTCCTGCCTACACTGAACCACTTCTCCCCACCTATTTTCTCATTTACTTCAACTGTGCATTCTGCATCTTGGTTGAAGCATCTTAATTATGTTAACGATTAGTTTTAGCACAGCACAGCAGTATGGACATCCCAAAGACAATTATGATAGAAAAAGTCAAATAGTCTTTTGCTATTACTATGTTTTATGATAGTGGTTAGTACTAGTACTAGTAGTACTCATCAGTGCAGTCTTTGATGACTATTCTTTGACACATGATTTTCTCATTTGAAATCTCTTTGCTGTATGGCTAGCTTCATCTCACCAATTTCCTCTACTGTGCACATGTTTATACAGACAAAGACTGTCACTGAGAGGGGAGTCTGAAATTGCTGAAGCTGTTAAATTGGCTCTCCTGGGCATTTTCTAGACACACAGTGGCATTTCCATATTATATCTACTTTTCTGGAGTTTTTTTCTGGAGGCTTGTCCTATATTCTATGGAAATCCAACAATTTTATTAACGATCACATCATCTCAAACTTTCAGCATTTTCCCTAGCTGTACCATCTTTATTTATCACCTTTATTTTTGAAATATTTTATTTCCTCATTTGTGTCTTCAGTTGCAACATAAGGTCTAAGCTGGGATGCTTGAGTTTGTTAAAATTACCTTCCCATGGTGTTGGCTTGTTCTCTACCTCTTGCAAAGGTTTAGCTGATCATTTTTGCTGATTTTCTTTTAATGTTTTCCCTGCTTTATCCTTCACAAAACCAGACAGTCTCTGGTGAGCTGATAAAGACTTTTAGCATTCGTTCTTTGAGCATTTGCATCAGCTGCTTTGGTGAAGTTACCAAGTTCCTCCTGCCCCAGCTTGTGCTGCTCTTTATTGCCCTGTTTCTTGTTTCACGCACATTTCTTTCTTCTCTGTTTCTTTGTCTGCAGATGTTTTTTTGTGGAATTAATATGTCTGGTTATCCAAGTATCTTTGCTTATCTAGGTTCGTTTGTCTGGAAAGCTGCTATGGCTATTATTGTTTTACTAGTAACTCTTAGAAGGCTTAGAGAGAAATACTGTTGTTTGCTGACGTAATGACAGAAGCTGGATTTTAAGGGTCCTTTTTTCCTCGTGCCAGTGCAGTGGGTGCTTTCAGACGTATACATGCTAAGCTGCAAGACCCAGAAGCTTTTTAAATCTGTTACTTTCTGAAATCATTACTTTGTAATGCAAGGGCAAGAAACCATCTAGGTATGTTTGCAGGCAACAATGTAAAATGGATTAATGAAAAAACTTACTCAATGCAGCACATAATCACTGTGAACTGGAGAACTCAATAAGGTGAATAAAAGCATAAGAAATTTAGTAATTACTATTACTGTTGTTGGTACTTTAGCAGTGTGTAAAGTCTGTGATGCAGTCTGAAAAAATTAAAACAGGGATTGCACAAAATATAATAGGATAGAGTCCCTACCCTGAGGAAAATGGTTATGTTCTGATTGAATAATAATTCTGATCAGTATTAGTTCTTTAGTTTTGTTTTTTGTTTTTTTGTTTTTTTTTTTTTTTTCTTATGAAAAGCAACGCTGAGTATTCAGTGTAAATTATAATTTTATACCTAAGGTCCCCAAAGCAGAAAGGTGGACAAACTAACCTTTGGGTTACAGAGACTCCTGAGTAGCTCCAGTGTGGGCTATTCCTCTGGCAGTAGGTAGAAGTTGGTGGACAAGCCACCAAGAGCTGAGGATGCCGTGGCAGGTCCACCCAGACCCTCCTCACAAGGAGATCTAGCACCTTGGGTGCTGACATTGTGCATGTTTGAACCAGTTCCAGGACTCCTCTGCTCTCCAGTGCCTGATGATTCGCACCATACCCTGCCTTGGGTATACAGCCTATACAGTCAGAGCATCTGAGTGACCCTGCCGTGGATGTCTGTGCATTTCCTTCCACTATTCCCAAGACAATGTTTCCCTGAGGTTTCTTCTTCTGAAGAAAAACATCATTAGCATTCAAATCTCCCTGCAATACTCACCTCTTTTTTCATGCTTGGAAATCACTCTTCTCCAAGAGCTGTGCAGGGGGAATGGATGTTTTTAGTGCCATTCATAGTCACTTGCTCTTTGCTCATGTCGCCATCTCATCTCTACATTGAGCCACATTCTCTTTAAACCACAGAGTGACTTGTAGAGCTTCACCCCTTTCCACACCGAAGAGGTGGGCGATTCCCACAGTTCCAGAAGACAACAATTTCAAAGATATACTGTCCTCACAGAGCCTATTCTCTAGTTTGGCTTGAGAAGTTTCATCACCCGGCCATCAGCTAGCTCTCTTTACACAAATACCATAGCACATAATCAAACTACTTTCTCAACAATGTCTATTGTATTCCTTTATAGCGGCAAATAAGGAAGAGGAGGAGCAGCTTGTAGGTATCTGATCAGTGATACGAAGGTGCAGACAGGATACCTGTCATCCATGTGCTGCTGCTAGGAATGGCTCAGACAGTGAAAGGGCGGTGGAGGGAAATGGAGGAGTGTGGGGGTTTGCAGATGTGGGCTACTAGTTGTCACTGTGCTACCACCTGCATCGGTGGGCTGGGGGAGTGAAGCTAGCCTGTCTGGGGAAGTTTGACTCTCGACTCTGTAATTTTTAGTGTTGGGAAGAAGGATGGAGAAGGGAGACCTGAAATGCTGGGTGAACTGAGCCCAGTTCAGCTGGATTTCCCCTTGTGACTTACCACGTTCAGCAGAGCATGGGAAAACTCGCAGTACAGCTGTCTTTCACCACCACTTTCTACATCACTCAAAATCAGGAGAAGCAGCTGGCTCAGGCACTGGATTCAGAGCGCCTAGACTCACACCTCAGCTCTGCAGCTATCCTACTTGGCCATCCATAGCATCCTCTCTATGCATGTGACATTTGGTAAAATCAATGTAATGACACGTCCCTTGGGATGTACTTGCTGACATCCTAATGAAGAATGTTATTTTTGTAGAATGTAATATGAATAATGAATTAACTTAAGTAAAATGTCTTGAAGATGTAAAATGTCTTGTAATGGATCAAACTAAATATTAATTGAAGAGTACAGAAGAGACATGCTTCATTGTATGGAATCTCTCATTCCAGGCTGCTTCTGGGAAGGATGCAGACTAAAAAAATAATTTTGGAGTCATTTTATTCTTGCTAATAATGATAGCCTCACAGAAGTCTGTGCCTAGGGCTTGAGGATTAATGGAGATGCATGTATAACATGTTGCTTTATAATATTCTTAATTATCAAGGGAAAAAGTCTCTCTGGCTTTTCTCTGGATGACAGAGAGCCCAAATTGCATTTGCACCTTTCATGTGCATAATGCTTGGGCAAATGTGTGCTACAGGTCAAAGCCTGGGGACCAGCCTCCAGGAAGCAGCACTGTCTCCCTAGTGCCAGCCGCAGCAGCTCAGGCTTTGAGCACGGGCCTGCAAAGTAGTGGACCTATCTGTCCCTACGGTAAGCAGGGATGAACCTGCAGAAAAGCAAATTGCCATGGAAGGGTGTTGAGGAAACAGGACCAGGTGAAAGCAGAAGGAAGAGGCAGCTGTCTCAATCTTTAGGATTGCCTTGAGCAGGAGGAAGCTGAAGCCATATCTTTATGTGAGGTGAAGTGAAGCAACTTCACACCCCTCTGCCCTCAGCGTTGTGCCTAAATGCTCCAGCATCTGCCCTGGCTGAGTATGATTTCCCTCACGTCAGTGGCTGCAATATCATGACATTCTTGTTGGCTAACTGAGCTCTCAGCCCCAGCCCAGGGACGCTGTAGATCAAGCTTCTCTTCTGCATTTCCCTGACATGGCTGTTGATGGTGGTGTGATGGTTTGTCATTGAACGTTTCCACCTGCTGAGCAGCCATGTAAGAGCTATTGTGCAAACTCCATAGTGCCATTTCAACACATAAATATCTACTTACCCCACATCTGTTAGCGCAACATCCTGCTCCACCTGCACCCAGCATCATGAATGCCGGCAAAATAACCTGTAAGAAAAGCACAAGCTGAATTAGCATGCAGTACTTCTCCTGGGATGGGTTTTAAAGTCTAGATGCTGGGGCATCCTGTTCCTCAAATGCAAATCACCTTCTGCCTCTTTTCTGTGAGTTACACCTCCTTAAATGTTGGAGCTTGCTGAAGAGTAGCCCAGGAAGAAGTGTGGGATTACAGCTACAGCTGGCTGTCAAGTTTCTGGTACAGTAATTCTGCTTGCTGAAGCTATACTGCTTCTTTTCAGCAGGGTTTTGTTGTTTTTTTTTTTTTTTTCAGGAACAAATGTGTCAGTTTTGAGAAAATGGAATTTCTGCTCAGAAAAGAAGCATCACCAGCGTAAGGCTTATGTCAGTTTAAATCTTCCAAGCATCCTGCTCTGGATTGTAATTGGGAAATTGGTTTTAAACTTCTGAAACACATCTGACTTGGGCTCTTTGTGATAAGCTTCTGGAAAACCTACAAAATGGATTTCTCTTATGAGGGAACTCCCAGTTCACATCAGCTTTCTCCATGGTAATTATCAGGTGGAGCTGGATTGATAAAATGAAGTCAGTAACTGTCTGTGTCTCAGGATATAATGCCACCTTACAGAGGCAATCTGGAGATAGGAAAAGCTGCATTTAGTTTGGTAGCTAGAGGGCAATAAAGCTTTTGTGGTCCCCATAAAGTTAATGAAAGAAGGAGAACCCCAAGGACAAACAAACAAAAAAGTTAAAAGCTGTAAAAACTGCCTGACTAGATGTTGGAGAGATATTGTCCCATGTAGGGCAGGAAGAACAGCATGTCCATGGTGAATGAAGCCTGGGGAATTTATGTGTGTAGCGTGAGAATCTCTGTTAGACTGTGTAGGACAGCGTTATGAAACCTGCTCAGAGTTGCAGTACCCTAAATATTTTTCAAAGGATTTGCTCTATTTTATGCACACCACAGAGGCATCCTTCAGCATCTGCAGTGGTCACTGGACCACAGCTGAAGGCCTGCAGATGTATAGCATTGAAGTTAAAAAGATGTTTGTCTTCCTAGAAAAAAGTCAGCTCTTAAATAATCACAGGTGATCCCCAAGGCAGCCTCAGACTCAGCATGCCATAGTCTGGCACTCAGGAGGCGAGCTAATACCTCTGTCCATCAAACCAACACTCCCTTTCCTCCAGGTCTATCTTTCCTCTTTGGAGGTTTCCCATCTAATCTGTGAACACCTTTGTTGCATTTATTACCCTGGCTCAGGATGAATGGTTTGCTTGGCAGCTGTCTTTTTTTGCAGTGCTCGATCGTAAACACCTGCCTTTTGACATGGGTTTAAGAATTTGCTAGACTTGGCTGTTGTCAGTAAAATGAGGGCTGCGTGTGAGCCACGGCTCAGTCAGGCATTTCTCAGTGTTGCACATAGCCTTTCCATCAGGAACAACTTTACTATGACACATGGAGCCAGTCTTGCTCTCTTTACACCCTAAACTTTTGAAATAAGGAAATGGAGAGGTTTTCACGCCATATAAATTTCCATTAGAGAAGCAGCAGAGGAAAGGGTGGGGCTGGCTGCTCAGCCAAAGAGTGCTCTGATGATCTAGGTATTGGTCTACAGATGGAGTTCCCAGGTGGAGGCAAGTTTTCTGGCTCACAGGTTTCCCCCACTGTCCTGGCTCTGGAGGCTGCATCCTGGTTACAGGGGGATTCTCCAAGATTGGGCAACCTGTTGGCATGACTTCCCCGACTTTCCTTTGGGGAGAAGCTGGGTGCATGGGGAAACGCATTGCAGCCTGTTCTGTCCTCATTTTGGAGTCAGGATGCAGACCAGGCTCCAGTCATGGGGCATTCTGCCCCTTGCTTAGTTCCCTAGGAGGCCCAGAAACCAGTCTTCATTTTTCCATGCTTCCAGCTACCTGGAAAATGGAGCTGATGATAACACTTTCTTTCCCCTTCTCTTCACCTGTGGGCATTTGTCATGCTGTTTTCTGGAAAACATACACTCATCAGCATTGTTTGTGGATCAATAATTACTCCTAATGCTGTGTTTTGAAGCCCAATGCAAATTTTTCCTCCTCTCTCACTTGCTGTTCTCATTTTTGATGTATGCAGTGCTGGCCACAGGCAAGTCTGCGTGGAGGCCTTAAAAGAAGGCACGTTTTCAATGAGCCTGTGACGCTCTCATGCCTAACATCTGCCTTTCCTTTCATTGAACGCCAATGACTCCTGGGCTTGCAGTGATACGAATTTTCCATAGGTCTCTCATGTAGTTCCACTGCTTCCTTTAGGCTTCCCTCCACAAACTTATTCTTACGTTCAAGCTCAGCATGAGTAATAGGCCCAAGTGGTAGCTGGAAGAAGAAGCAGGCAAGCTGCTGGTGAAGAACAATTTATTGAATGATCACATACCACGTTTCTGCTTTGGGAAATACGAGTCTGAACCACATCCATTGTAGCTTTTCCATGGGCTTAAGTGGTAGCTGCATCATAGCCTGACTGTGAACAAGATTTGTTAATTATTCATAAACATTCTTTTTTTTGATGCGCAGGTAGCCAGCTCCATGCCAGTCTACCATCTGCCTAGGCTGCATAACAGCCAGTACTTGTCATATGCATGCTACTTGCTTGGCTTCTTATCTGCGCTTGGGTGGATAATTAGAAGAGAGTAAAGGGAGCAGGCTTTCTAATGAACTGGAAAGATCAGTATTTGTTAGAATGTTCCCTTCTCGTTATGGATATTCAGATAAAAGCTATCTTTCCTGAGTGGTGGAATGGAGAGCTGGTTATGGAAGAGCACATACAAACCAGATCAAATCCAAAAGGAGGTAAGTCAGTGTGTGGGAACACAGGGGGCATTTGGGATTTAAGCCGTTTACAGCTCCTCATTAGCTGAGTGTTGGATAGGTCTTTAATGAACACCTACTGAAACATGTTTCAGTTTTGCCCTTAATATTTTTTGTGAATTATGTGAGCATAAAATCAGTTAGAGGAGTAATGAGGGGATGCAGACAATAGTGAAAACTCACCACCTCCAGCTGAGCTTAGGACCTCAGCTTTGCTTTGACTCATGGAGGATAAACACCCATGTCAGCTTTATCCACAGTGAGAATTCAGTCCTATTTCTTCCTCCTGACTTGGAGTACTGATATTTATTTCAGTAATACCTTGTATTCCTGTGATTAGGGTCTTCTTAAGTTTTGAATGCACTTTCTCAGTCCTGTACCCAATTTCCCAGTTAAGCTGTTCACGTATTTATGCAAAACACATTTCTGTGGCTTTTTTTTTTTTTGTTAACAGACATTTTCTTAGCCCTGAATTTAAAACAAAACAAAACAAACCCCATAAGAAACAGTAGCAACACTTCTCTCTTACCAGTATCCCAGCTCCCAGAATGCCATGGAAAAACCAGACCAGATCAGTTATCTCACTGAGCTGCAGAACTCGTCCATTGGGGAAGTACAGCAGGATGTTGGAGACTATGGCACATGCCGCCAGTGGGAACAGGGTGATCCCAATACACTTTGAACACTTCCCTGTGCACATGGTAGCTCTTTGCTGAGGAAAGACACAGGAAGGTTTGGGTTACTGCAGCACAGGGAGCATGGAATTTCACCGGTTTTCTTCTTTAATGAAAGAGGAATCAGTTTTGAAGCAAGAAAAGTTCCAGTTAGGACTTACACAGATAATCCTATTCTACAGAGCCTGTTCCCTTCACAGATTTTATTTAAAATGGATCTGTTAAAAACTGGAGTGTTTAATTGAGTTTATTTTAAATTGGCAGCACTAAACATGTGCTGGTATGAAACGAACGGAGAGTTTCATTTTAGTTGTTAATGGACAATTGTCTGTCCATCAGGAACATCAGTAACAAAACCATGGGCACACAAACTGGTACCCTGGCTGGCAGCCTTCATGGTGGGACTAAGGCCTTGGGTGGAAGGGGAGCTGGATGCATTGGGCTGTCTGGGACCACTGTCTTGGGAAGCTGATTTGAAATTTCCTGAGGGTCTAGAAGAGCAGGAAATGACAGCCCTGAATGCCATGCATGTTCAACCCTGCCTTGGCACTGGGGCAGGCAGGGGAGCCTCACTGTCTGCATTTTCTCTGTTTCAGTCAAAAATACACTGTCAGCAAGAATTGGAGAAACTTTCATTACTGTTTCCTGTGACGTGCTTATTCAGTGGGTAAGGGTAGATAACTGTGAGCTACAAGGCTGTTTGGCACCCACCCTAAAATATCCAAAAAACTGGAAGCATGTCTAATCCTGTGGCTTTTTGCCAAAGGCAGGTCACAAAGTCATCCCACCTCATTTTCAGAGATCTGCCATAATGTGTAAAACAGAAGCTTAATATTTCACACCAGTCAGGGTATTCTTTTAAAATCAAAGAATCAACATAAATGAAGTGCTGGTTGAAAGGGATCTCTGCAGGTCTGCAGTCTGACCTCCTGCCGAAAGCAGGACTACCACCAGCACTAGGTCTCTGTGTCAGCCATGGCTTTATGTAGCTGAGCTTTCAAAACTCCCAAGGGTGGCTACCATCTCTGGGTGACCTGTTGCAGGGCTGCCCCAACCTCTCGGTGAAAAAGTCTTTCCTCATGTCCAACCTCAATCTCCCAAGCTGTAAACATGGCTGTCGCTCCTCGTTATATCCTCTCCCACCACTCCATCGCCTCTGTCACTCCCTTCCAAGTTTGTTGTAGGCTGCTACTAGATCCCTCTTCATCAAAGTGAACAATCTCAGCTCATACTGCACCCACACTGTGATCTCTAGCCAAAGAGAAAAGACTGGTCAGTACAAAAGTGGATCCACAAGTATTTCTCCACATCAGATGATTGGAAAGTTCAGACTACTGGGTCAGAGACTGTTGAACTTTCACACTGCCATCAACTATATGGCATAAACTGATCACAAGTTCTTCATCATGTCTTATTATAGCTTCGCTCCAGCTCAAGGCTTTCAAATGTATAAAAATACAAAATATTAATGTGTGGGTTTCTGTCCTCAGAGAAAGCTGAGAGTTTGTGACAAAGATGGCTTTGCTCTTTTTGCAAGTTACAAAATGCAAGAGAAGGAAGATGATCTGGACACACACCATTTTGGTACACACACCCGTGTTATACATGCATACATGCAGCCATGCACGTGCATGTGTCTACGCTTGCTACATGCAAACAGTTTTTGTAATAACCAAGGCAGTAAACAGTGAAATGTCCCTCAATTTAGTCATATGCATTGGCTAATCCTGAGAGTTTTGTGACAGAAGTTGCTGTTGAGAAGGTATTAAGCAGGCTAGGAGTACAGAAATCAATCAAGGTTGGGTTCCCCAACCAAAAAGTCCAGGTGAAAGACAGTATGAAGATATTTGAGAAAGCCAGAGACACACTGAAAGTGGTTTCGTTGACAGAACGAAGACAGCGAACAGGTGAGGTAAGGCATGAAGACAGACCAATGTCCTCAGGCCTCTATAACTGAGAGGGAAAACAGAAAGACTTTATGGGATATTGCTGTGAGGTAGCTGAGACTGACAGAGATTTCTTCTGCGTTTGCATTTCTATAGCAAAAAGTTTGCATTGCTCTCTGCTGCTACAAGTTTAATAAGAGCACTGTGCTTATATGCTTTTTCTTCTGAGCAATTTGCAATCATGTCATGCTTTTAAATCCAGCTTTAAAGCAAGTTAACTGGCATTAAACTATTCCAGAAGGGAACATTTTTAAGAGAGATGCTTCTTGGTTTACAGTCATTATCTATTGTTTATATAGTGCCGAAATTTGGGCAGGGCATTTTGCAAGCCTCTGGAAAAAGCCCCAGCTCAAAGAGATAAAAATATAAGCAGACCAACATGTGCAAATAAAGGATGAAGCGGGGAGGGAGAGGAGGGAAATGGAAAGAATATTGGGTATTTCACCCATCTTTCTCTCAAATACCCAATGCATTTGCTATTTTTTACACTGACTTTTGCCTGTCTAATTTCCTGTCTCATTTCAGCTTTTGCTTTTCCATGTGTTTGTTCAACCTCACCCACTTCCCATCCCCAGAGAGAAGCAAACAAGCACAGGCACAGCCTGGCCTCCTTCTATAAAAGCTAAGTCTTGTAGGAGAGTTAGAAATTCTCTTCTGCATTTTTCGTACATAGCCAGAGGGCCCAATTCTCGCCCAATGCAAAGCAACATGACGCTGCTTTGGCTGGAAGAACAGGGGTTTTGCAGCCCATTCTCTCTGACCTATCTCAATACCACTTCAAACTACAAGGAGAACTTACATCAATCACCAGACCTAGCGAGCGCCTCTTCCACCAAAATCAATGCCGCTTTGCTACCTGTGTACATCAGAGGATCTGACCGTGTTATTACAGCTTAGGAAAACACTCTAGATTGCCAGAAGCACTCAAAACACTTTATTAATTCAGCAAACAAAAGCACTTTCTACAGCTTCATTAAGCAAAGTGGCCAGAGCAAGCTTCTAATTTTTGAGAGGGTTTTAGAAAGTTTTGCTTTTTAATGCTGAGGGAAGCATGTAAATACCTTTGCTTACCTTCTACACAGGGCTAAGATGGCCTCCAGGCTCCAGAGCTCCCCACAGCCGGCTTCAGGCTTCCCAGCTCCTCTCTCCTGGAGCGTGGCAGTCTGAGTGAGGCACAGCGATGTTTTTGGGCAATAGCCTCTATTAAACAAATAGCCGTTTCTCTCTGGAGAATGAGGAAATACCCCAAGATATCCCTGGTTGGCCAGTGTGAGGTTGGCATGTCACTCGGCATTATTGATTATGTTAAGGCAGTGTTCCAGTGGTCAATGCCCTGTCCCCTCAGGACACACAGATCGGAGCAGCAGAGACCTTTTTACTGCTGCCACCATTTCAGCCGTGCACAGTTTGGCAGAAGAGGAAAGGCAGGGGATGGCAGGGGTGCAAGCATGCAAAGATGAACAATGGGTGTATGGCAGAAAATGTGGTTGAGGCACGAGGTGGTGGCACAGCAGCCTGGCCATTGGTGTGAAGTTGTCTTCTGCACAACAGGTTGCAGGTGTTAAAGTTCAGCACCGACTTTGCTCCAAAAGCATGCTGCTGGGAGAGCGAAGTAAGGAGAGGGGGAATTGGAAAGAAAGGAAAGAAAATTCTCAGTAAGACAGAGGAAAAAAGAGGGAGAAGGGCAGAAAGGCTGGAGTGAAGGGAGAGGTGTGACCAAGGGAGGAAATGTGGAAAGAAAAATGGAATTCTAAGGAGGAGAGAGTGGGAATATGGAAGGGAAACTGAAGATTCACTTTGGCAGCAGAGAAAAGAAAGGTAGAAAAGACACTAGAGATGGGCCAAGAAATGAAAAACACAATGAAGATTATGAAGAAACATTAAAATTAAACCGGGAGAAGACTCATACTGAGGGAAATGGGACTTTCTTTTGTAGAAAATGTGATGGTAATAACCATTAAATTATGTTCAAACACTAAAATGTATAAACATATATTTTACTTGGCAGGTTAGATTTGTCCCCAGTAATGCTGGGAATATGCTCAGATCCCTCTTTTTGACTGAAAACATCCCCCCTCCAGCAGGTACCTGCTGTAGCCTTGTTCTCAACATCTGGATGAAACGATGACTTGGTCACAAAAACATTAATGAAAGGGGCACATGAGTGAAAGCAAAGATACAAAATATTCTACTCTCCATCCTGCTGACTCTCATCTTCATTCTCTAATCTTACTACGAAAGACTGGTTGTATAGGGTGGAATTCATCTCACATGACTTTGGATGCCCATGAGGTAGATGTCACCCCAGGCCACATTTATTCTTAGTGAGAGAAACAGCCACTTTTAAGGAAAAAAATTACAAGATCTATTTTAGGAGTTACTGTAGGGTTACAGTAAATAATTAATGGTGAAGGAATCTCAGCACTTGTTCAGATCTAGATGTTGGCATCTGTGGTCAGATGAATCGCATCCATGAGCACTACCAGCATGGCAGGGCGGCTGCAAAAGCACAGGGGCAAAGCCTGTGGCTTCAGTCCCCAGGCTGCATGTTTAATAACCAGTGGCAGAGGATGCAGGGAAGGTTGTCTTCATCACTGAGTCACAGTCAGTGAAAAACTTTAAAAAGCCCATAGAGTGATCTCAGGCAAAGAACCTTCATTAAAATACAGATGGCAAAAAGGAGGGAAACAGAGCTGAACCCACTGAACCCAGTGCCCCAAACTTCAACTGACATCAGTGGCAATTGCATTTCAACCATGGGTTTTGTGGTGATGCTTCAATCCCAAGGAAAAGGAGCAAAGTAAATCTCAGACAATCTTCAGACAGGATAAAGGCACAAGGCCTAATGGCATTTAAAGCATTTAAAGAATTAAATTTAGAACAACTTGAAGACCGTCAGCAATTTGCACTGACAGCTGGGGCACCTGGCAGGGATCAGCCAGCTTATGTAGAGAGTTGAGAAGCAAATAAGGAAATTTCATAATGGTACTTAAGATGAACCCTCCCCCTCAATCTCATATCCTGGTTACTTGGAGTTTTTATAGACTCTTACTCTATAACATCTCTAAGGTAGCACCTTT